GCTCAGCGGCAAAAGCGCCTGCCTGGCAAGCGCAAGGTCGTGAGTTCGGTTCCCGGTACCGGAGAAAAACCAAAACAAACAAACAAAAAAAAGACAAAAAAAAAAATGCTTTTTGTGATGCTTGGGGCTTTAGGGCATGTGATTTTGATAGGTGATTTCTCTTTGTTTACAGAGATTGAGCATGTTAGAACATGTATTCAGAAATATTTGTGAATGTTGAAATGAAAAGTTTGTGTGACTCCGCATGTCTTCCTACTATTATAGCAGTGATAATCGCACAGTTTGTTGATAATCACTTCATACCAGGCACCGTGTTCAGTGCAGTGTGTAAGCTCTCTCCTGGAAGTCTCCCATTAACCCTGAGACTGAAAATGCGGAGCTTCAGAGGGTGCGGGACCTGGGTGAGGTGAAGCCCGGGTCGGGTCCGGAGCCCAGCCACGAATCCCAGCCTTGCTGGCTGCGCTGGCACAGGGGCATGGTGCAGAGCAAGGCGGTGGATTGTTTGGGTTTGGAAGAATTGAGCTTTTGTTGAAAGGCCCCCCTCTGAAGTTGCTGTTCAGGCTGACACCTCAGGTCTTCTCTTAAGTGCTCAGCCTGTGAAGATGCGTTAAAGCTTTCGGTCTCGGTGGGCAGTGCGCGGTTGGCTCGTCCATCCGCGAGGAGACAGAGGAAACCCCGTCTTGTCTTACAGTTGGCAGACGCGCTCCCCGAACACTCCCCCGCCAAAACCTCCGCAGTGAGCAACTCGAAGTCCAGCCAAGCCCCGCAGGGCTGGCCCGGCTCTGGCCCGTGGAACACCCCGAGCGCCCCACCTTCTTTGCCGGCCGGACCCCCGCCGAGTGCGACACCCTCCACCGTGCCTTTCGGAGCGGCACCCCCAGGGATGTACCCGTCCGCGCCGCCCGCCGGGCCGCCTCCAGGACCCCCGGCGCCCTTCCCTCCCTCCGGACCCTCGTGTCCCCCGCCCGCAGGGCCTTACTCGGCCGCAGCGGTGCCGGGCCCTGGCCCCACAGGGCCGTATTCCACGCCAAACATGCCCTTCCCGGAGCTGCCCCGGCCCTACGGCGCCCCCACCGACCCAGCCGCTGCGGGGCCCTTAGGTCCGTGGGGTTCCGGATCTTGGGCGCCAGGCATGGGAGCGCAGTATCCGACGCCCAGTATGCCCTATCCTTCTCCGGGGCCGTACCCCGCTCCTCCTCCCCAGGCGCCAGGCACAGCCCCGCCCGTCCCATGGGGCACTGTGCCACCTGGGGCCTGGGGACCGCCAGCACCGTACCCAGGGCCCGCGGGCTCCTACCCCACGCCAGGACTCTACCCTACTCCCGGTAACCCTTACCAAGTGCCTTCGGGATCTGCCGGTGCTCCTCCGCTGCCTGGCGGCCCCCACGTGAGTATCACTTTGTTCTTTCTCACGCGCAGCTCCGTTTGTCTCCCTGGTTTTGGACTGAAGGTTAGGAAGCTCCTAGGAGTGTATGTAAATTTGCACACTTGAGGTCCAGCGTTTAAAAGGAAGAAAGCAGAAGTATTCCCAGTACTGAGTACAGAAGGGGGGCTTTCCCACAATCCCGAGACTGCACTAGAGGAGCGGAGTCCTGAGGCCAGCTCATTCAGTGGCTGTTTAAAACATCTCCGAATGTTTTTGTAGTCTCACACCAATGCACAGGTCAGTAAGAAGCAATCTTGGCCTGTGTGGTGGGATAGAGGCTTTCAGGGAGCTCGCCCAGCTGTTGCTCAGCCACAGTTTTGTTAAATTCTTGGCAGCCTTGAACGGGATTACAGGACTATTCTTGATGGCCCATTTATACACCATGTGTTCTGCCCACCGAGTGGGGGCCAGGTGGATACTTAGGTTGAGGAACCTGTCTTTGGGGCTGTGACTGATGAGAAAAGCACCCTACTTCTCGAGGAAAGCCAAGTACATATCTAAATGCAGAGTCAGCACTTCTGCTTAGGAACAGAAGAGATCTTTTAGCTCTTAGAGAGTTAAGATAACTAATCCACCTCAGCTTTAAAGGAAAAAATCTGAAAGGGTCCCTGGAACCTCATTTTAGTATAAATTCTAGGCTAGAGCAGGAAGATCACAGTGACTTCAAGGCCAGCCTGGGCTACGTAGCAAGACTGTCTCCAGAACTTTTTTTTTCAAAGTACATACCAAAGTAGATGAGATGACTTGCTGTTTGGATTTGTTAAGCAATACATTTACTTAATTTTTTTGTTTTGTTTTGTTTTAAAATATTTTATTACACAGTTCTACTATCCTTTGTAGATGAATGCAGTCTAGTTAGCAATCTGGTTTGGTCGCCATTTTTTTTTTAATGTTTACAATACTGTATGTAGTATGTAGACTGGAACTTGCTACATTTTCATTTTTTTTCTTGATGAATCAATCACCACGGTACGTGACTGCAATACATTTACTTTAAACCACAGCAAGGTGTTAAACTCCATTTACAAAATCATGCAGTTGACGTTTTCTTTTTTCTATTGCAGTCTTACCATTAAGTTAATAGTGGATGAAGACAAGATGCTTTGCTTTTTGAAGTACATCCCTGAGCACATGAATGCATATATAAAACTGCCGGTCTCGCTATTCTTAGAGGGCATTCATGAAAGAACAACTCGCGCCTCTCGGAAGATACCTGCCTCTTGTACTTGGATATGTAGTGCATCGAATGGATACAATCAGATGTCAACGTAGAAGTAAATCAAGCAGATGTGATTTTTATTTGGTTTTTGTGGAAAGTTAAAGTGATTATATTGAATAGTTCTTTGCTAAAATTTGTTTAAATTATGAAACTATACACTTAAAAATGTAAAATAGGGGTTATTGTTGAAGTAATTTGCCAATGAAATTGTAGATTCTAGGTATTTTTCTATAACTTCTTTTCCCCCCTAAGTAACTACAAAAACAATCACATTTTATTCTAAACAAATGATGCTTCTCTGTCTACAAGGTAAATAAGTCTAGTCCTCTTAGGGTCATTTGGGTATACATTTTGAAACTATGACGGTCAGATGTCAGGTTCAGTAGCCAGCAGCTGTTCATTTTTATCCTTGAGCTATTTGTAAAAACCTGTCTTTTGTTGATGCCATGTGGGTCGCTAAAATGTGCCATCTGTGAAAACTATTGGCGCTGGTGTCCGGCTCCAGGGCGTTGCCCCTACCAAGCAAGGGCCCTGCTGCGGAGCCGCACCTCCAGTCCTGGCCTCTTTCCCTCCCTTGTAACACAAGCCAACGTGTGCAGTGCCATCTCAGAGAGCTGTGCTGTGCTTTGCAGTAGACTGGGGTGTGTGCTGCTGTCAGGAGAGCTCGGGGGAGAATTCTCTCCTTTGTTCTCACCCTTCAGCAGGTGAGCCCGAGGCATCGCCTCGTGGCAGCCAGACAATTTTCAATCTCGCCAAACCCGGGCAGCTCTTATGCGTGCCAGGCCCTTCCCCGCAGCCTCCCATCCCCGCAACTCTAGAAGAGCACCGCGGCCGCTCCCTGCACGGAGGCTGCTGCGCGCAGCTCGGTTAGAACACAGCGCAGTTAGGCCTGGAGAAGCTCAAGGCAGACGGACGCGGCACACTTTCTACACATGGAATCAAAGTGTGTCTGGGTTTCAGAGTCTGGGCGAGCGGTGTCACTGTCCTTGCAGTTTTCCAGTCTGTGAAGTGTTCTGGCTGACATTCAGTTATTTGTTGACAGGCAGATAAATAGAGTTGAGCAACGTCTTTGAAAAAAGAACCCTTTAGTTCTAACACTGAAAATAATAAACTGTAGATTTCCACAGCTGTCAGGCAGCGTAACTGTGTTGCTTAAGTGGTAAATGATGGTTAGCGCACAACAGCCTGAGTAGCTTTTTGGCACCTTGCCTTTGTCAGTCGTAGATTTGGGATAGACTTGACCTTATTTTATCAAATCACATTTTGAAATTTTGAATGTATCCATTGGGTCCCTAAAATGTATTGTGAATTTCTTAGATAGATATAAGAAAAGATTTATGCTGGAGATGTTTTTACTTTGAAATAAAATATTCAGTAGTTTACTTTTCCTATAATTAAAATGTCAGTTGCTACCCATACAGTGGTTTGATAGCTATTTCCTTTTAGGAGAGTAAGATAGTCATCTTTGAGAGGAACGCTTAGCACTCAAGCCTCGTTTCTTTTAAGTAGAGGATAGATCCAGGCTTGACAGAAGGCCTTATCCTGCCTGTCTGGATAGATCCAGAATTGACAGAAGTAGAAACTACTTTGCTTAGGTAAATTCCAGATTGAAATATTCTCAGGCAGATCTTACATAGTGGCACAGATGGACGGCTTCCTTTCACTTCTTTGCAAGGACCTGTGATGGCTGGCTACTGGTGATGGCCTAGAACTGTCCTCAGAGTGGCCGCCTGGCTCCAGGTCAGGTAACCACAGGCCTCCCGCAGAGTTTAAATTCTCTGTTAGTCAGGAGGTCATTGAGCTAGAGCGTAGGAAGGAGAGTAAGGTGGCGGCAGAGTACCTCCGTCGGTAGTTGCTTTGTCCTGCCGTGGGACATGTTAACGCTCTGGCTTTAGATGCAGGATTTAATGTAACACTCAGGATACAGAAAAGAGGTAGCAAATGGGAATCTGTAATCGTGGAATCCACTGATTACAGGAAAAAGATCTTTTTGCCAAAGGAAAGGGCCGAAACCAAGATTTGAGACACTGTGCCCGAGCGCAGAGTAGCTTTGCTGGTGACCCGCACTGCGAACACGGCCGCGTTAACGCTAGCCTCTGGGGCTCGCACGGAGGCCTGGTGGGCCTGCCTGCGCTTAGCTGACGTCTCTCCCCTAGCGCGGGGTCGGGGGACCTTCCCCGTTCTCGGGGCACTCTGAGCTGAAAGTATTTTTATGGTCAGGGTAGAGTCAAGAAAAGCACAAGTGTCAGTGGACAGATGGGAAAAAGCATCCGGGGAGAGCTTTCCCCCGCTGCAAAGGAACATTGGTTTCAAAGTGAGTCTTGCGGGGCTGGGATGGGTGTATGAGACACGTTAGCAGGGGTGTGCGCTCCTGAGAGCACAGATCACGCCGATGCGGACACTTGGGCTTTGGACGAGAGTTTCTAAATAAGCCTGGTGAGGATCGCTGACGCGCAGGAGCAGCGTTCCTGAAGGCGGACGCTTGGGCTTTGACGTGTTAAGCGCCGGAATGATACGCAGATGAATGCGTAGCCCCCAAGTCCGCATTCACTCTTCTCAAGATAAAAAATCCGGTGCTCCTCACAGGCCTCCACACCCTGTGCCCGTCTGCCCTGTCCCCTGCCACCTTTCAGGCCTCTGAGGACCTGGTCACTGCTTGGACCCCACAGCCGTCTGCGGAGTACAGTGACATCGGGGCGGACGCGGTCCTAGTCCCCCGGCCTGGCTGAGCTGCCCCCTGCTCTGATTGCCTTCCCGGGAGCGACCAGGCAGAGCAGAAGAGGCGACTTCTGCGCAGTCACACTGCCCGCCTCCTAGCCGTCAGCCTGCCGAGACCGTTACCTCACACACTCGGTGCCGCGCCTCCCTGCGCAGACGCCCGGCTCTGAAAACCGGCCTGGGTGAAAGCGGCTGTGCTCCGCGGTCCGCTGGAGCGCTGCCCCTGGCTCTGGCCGGGCGGCCCCTCCCCGCGGGTGACCGAGCGCCGGCCTTGTCCCCACGCGCGGGCCGGCGGAGCGCCCGGGCTGTGGAGACGCTTGAGCCAGGCCCGCCTGAACCTCACTAAAAACCTCAGGGAGGGCGATCTTGTAAAGCAATCGGACTGCGGACGCGTGTCTTCACAATTCTGCCAAGGAGAGCAAAAGTGGCCAGTACAGTAAAACCAGCAGTATCGCAGCGCCGCGCGCTCCGGGCTTGGAGAACGTGCAAGGTGCTCTGCCCGAGGCCGTGGTGCGGAGACAGCCACCGCGACCCCGAGTTCCCCCTTCCACCCGGGACCCCGCTCCCGGGCCGGAGCGGGGGACGGCCGCTGGAGGGGTCCTACAGCGTCGGGGCGCGGGGGACAGGTTTGCTGGGCTTGCGCGGTGCTGCCCAGCACTGCCGTGGGGGCCGTGAGCGCGGGCGGGCTGGGGACTCGCAGGCACTGGTCAGTGGCCGCTAGGGAGACTTCCTTGTGCTGTCTCTACAAATTTTGTAGATTTTTCTGGAAGTTGTGATTTTTTTTTATTCATTGACAATGATAACAAATTTAATGGATGTAACCATCTATGCATTTTAAGTTAAACTGCCTAAAATGTGATTGGAGACATACACGTGTTTGTACTACGAACTGTAAACCAATCTGTTTGCGATGTTAGGTTTTATTACCTGCTGCTGTATTTGTAAACAAAGACAAATGTTGCTTTAAGAAGTAATTATAATTAGGAACACACTATAGATGTGATACTTGATATTTTTTAAGATAAACTTGTTTGCTTTTGTGTACTCTACCTGAAAGCTTTTTTTAAAAATGTATTTTCATGGTTTCACGGTTCTGCCATGTACTTTATTCGCCAGATCCAATTCTGAGCTTTCTAAGGCAAGTCCAGGGCCTCATTAACTGCAAACTTGGGGTCATGAAGAAAACAAGGGAGCTGGGTGTGATGGCGCATGCCTGTAATCCCAGCACTCGGGAGGCTGAGGCAGGAGGATCATTGCAAGTTTGAGACCAGCCTGGGCTACAAAGTGAGTTCAAGGCCAGCCTAAACTGCATAGGGAGACCTTTTTGTCTCAAAAAGACCAAAAAAAAAACTAATTTGCAGTAATTTTACTTTTGGAAGAGGTTTCTCCTTTTTCCCTTACAGTTGAGCAGAGTGGAACTGTAAAAATTGCATTTGAAGTCGTATCCATATCCTCTCAAAGTACCTTCCTAAAACAAAGGTAAACAGTAGGGAAATACAAGGCCCTTTCCAGAGCGGGCCCAGTCCGGTTTTATCTGCTTTCCTTTGTGCATTGACAGAGCTCTGAGCACGCCTGGATCTCCGGTCCCGGCAGCTTCCCCCACCGCGTGAATACCTTCCTCCTCAGCCTGCCTTCCCAGGTGCCTAAGGCAACATCGAGCCCTAACCTTTAGCTCCTTTCAAGTAAGACCCGCGGTAGAATCCCAAGGCCAGAAGAGAACTCAGGCAGCCCTGTGGTTTATTTCCACGCCATTTAAACCCTTTCCCTGTTCAGACAAACTAAGCAGTTGCCTTTCTGATTCTGGTTTTGCAGCCCTCTGGGGGTCCAGAGGAAAAGAAGCAGATGGGTAGGGCTTAGGTTGGTCACCGCTGGAGTGGAGCCAGGTGCAGTGGTGCACACCTGTAATTCTAGCACTCCGGGAGGCTGAGGCAGGAGGATCCCCATAAATTTGAGCCAGGCTGGGCTACATAGTGAGACCCTACCTCAAAAAAAAAGAGTAGAGTAGATTTGCTGTTAACATCTTCTAAAGACAACTGCTACAGATGCCCTTGCCTCCCATTGAGGCTGACGCTGTCGCGAGTGCTCAAGTGTAACAGAATCCCGCCTGGGCCATCCAAGGTGCTAAGCCATACTTGCGTGTTAGCATCATGTAAGGAAGAGAGAGGGTTCTGCCGTTCTTGCTGTGGTTATATTTTGTGTCAGACCTCGTGCTGTGTAATGGCTACTTAGACTAGCGTGCCCTTAGGTAAGTTTTACAGGGCAGCCTCTTTTTATTAATGTTTTGAGACACAATCTCCCTGGCAGCGATGCTCCTGCCTCGGCCTCCTACGTGCTGGGACAGACCTGGGCCCCCACGCGCAGCTAAGAACACACGTTTTTACCCTTGTTCAGTAGCTGATGAAACCAAGGCTCAGTGGTTGCAGAGACCGCACAGCTCCGGTCTGGTGCAGCTGGGGTTAAAGTCCCGGATGTGACCCAAGCGTATAAAGTGCGCGGGGAATCCTCACGTCACAGAGGCAAATGAGGGTCAAAGGCCTCGGCTAGGGACTCAATCCCAGGTGCGGGACGTTTGCGTGGAGGACGGTTGGGGGGCAGCGGGTGATCACCCAGCTCCAGGCGAGGCCAGGCTGGGAGTCGCAGTGGCCGCTGCAGAAGCGGGCACCGTTCACAGTGGGTGGGGTGGACGGACAGATGACCGCCAAGAGGGACAGGAAGTGGGCAGAGGGTGGGGAGGGGAGCAGGCGGGGCTGAGGGAAAGGTCCCGCTGCTGCTCGGAAAGTCCGGAACCTAGTGTGAGCACCTGGGTCCTCCCCCAATTCCCAAAGAAACCTGTTCCGACAAGGACGACCCTGAGGCCCCCAGGCATCTGGGCATGGGGGAAGACTAAGTGAACCAGCAATGGCCGCCTGAGCCTCCCAAGGTTTCTCACCGGCAGGGTGGGAGGTCTCCCCACCTCCCGCCCTGCCCCTTGGTCCCGGGAAGCCTGGAAGAGCTCCCTGCGGGTTCAAAGATCACAGTTCCCTGGGCTGCACTGGGTGGAGTTTCTATTCTGAGCTTTGAGTTGACCCCTGGGGTGTGTTGTGGACAATTACCTGCTTCCTGTGCTCCTTTACCTGACACAAATAAGGCTCGGAACTATGGGGTGGTGTGATAGTGCACACCTGTAATCCTAGCACTCCAGAGGCTGAGGCAGGAGGATCACTGCAAGTTCCAGGCCAGCCTGGGCGACATACTGAGTTTAAACCCAGCCTGAACTGCAAAGCCAAACACCATCTCCAAAAGAGAACTGTGAGGAGAAAGAACGGAACACACTCCCTGAAGCCAGAGAGCTCTGTTTGGTATAACAGTGTAACCCCAGGAATGCACAGCTAGGAGAGTGACCATCCATGTTCCTTTTCAGAGTCCGAAGGTCAAGCTTGAGTGCTCAGAGTTACAGAGGAATGAACATATTTATGGGACACCAGGCTGCACTGTAACTAAGCAGTCATACGTCTCCGTTTGTCTGAAAAGTGTCCTGGTTTTAAGAATAAGTTCTGAGCCAGGCGTGGTGGCGCACGCCTGTAATCCCAGCACTCGGGAGGCTGAGGCAGGAG